AATTGTTGCAAGAATACAAGAGTATCCCCTCTTTGAGAAAAATAATAATAACAGCAATGATGATACAATATTATAATATGCTGGGGCACCTGGATGGCTCAGTTGGTGGAGCATATGACTCGTGATCTCAGGGTTATGAGTTTGGGTCCCACATTGAGTATAGAGATTACTTAAAAGTAAAATCTTTTAAAAAATTGTTACATAATGCTTACCAAGGGTCATGTACTTGTTCTAAGGACTTCCATATAATTCACTTAATCCTTACAACAGCCTAATAAGGTAATTAATTTCATCCCTATTTTATAGGTGAAGAAACTAACCCATTAGAAAAACTAATTAACATGTCTCAGGTCATACAGTAGATGGTGTAACTAGAATTTGAACTCTGGTTCCAAAATCAGAGCACTTAACCAACATTTTATGCAGCCTCTTTTTAGAGAGGAGACAATGTTACTGGTCAATTTTTCCCTCAAGATATAAATACATAATACTATAATCAATGCCTTGATCGGAGATTGCTTCCCAACGAGTATGTCCTATATCACAGATCCTACTCAACAGCATGAATCAACTGGCATCGTGGAAAGACTGACATGAAGAATGTTTTCTCTTGCCTTCCTTCACTTAGTTTCTGCGATGGTCTTTGGCAACAGTCACATGGGTCTGGATCATGCCAAACATAGGGTCCTAGGAACATCATTTTGCTTGGAATGGCCACATTAGAAATTGGGGATTGGCTTACGTTCTGAATGTACTGGGTATGGAGCTGATGTTGTGATCACCTTTCAGTTTAACTGGAATTAGGGCACATGAAAAAGTTGGTGTGGACTTAATTCAACTTCTCAGGTCCTAGGGGATGACACCCACTGTGGGAGCCCAGAAGGTAGTTGCTGGAGGAATTCCAGTTCAATCTAGTCATCCAGAAGTCATCTGGCTGACACTGGGAAGAATAAAAATTAAGGACCTGAATTTCTTTGAATTTTAACTTGAGGAGTTGAAACTTTTATTGGATTTTAACTCACAAAGGTAAGATTATTTGGTTTTGGAATTCACTTCTGTGTAAATGTAAAGATTTGGGATTTTCATTTCTTTGGAATTTTATTATTTGAATTTAATTTCTTCACAAAAATTCCATAATGGACATGAGTTAACATTCAAGTTCAGGGTATGTTTTTGGAATTTTGTGATTGAAATACACTAATCCTGTCATTTGATCTCATTGCATTATAGAATCTCTGAAGAATGTGTTAGAGAATAGATGGCTATTTTGGACAATGCTATTACGTATAATTTGGGGTATGAAATGGAATAGAAAGTGAACATTCAGTGTTCAGTAGCATGGCCTTAGAGCTAATTATATTCTAAGTCATTTCGGAATCTTCTAGTGTAAATTTCATACTACCCACCAGGATCTAGAAGGATCCACATAGGAGCCGGTTTTGGTTATTGGAATAATAGGTCCTAAGAGACTGAGGACCTCCTTTCTCAAGAGGCAGAGTGACTTCTCTGACTTACCATAATGGAATAATTAAGCCAAAGAAGTTAAGAGAACAAAAAGTTAGGAAATGTTAGGGGAAATGAGAGTGTTATCAAACAAATCTACCAAAATCTGACACTATCTACATGTGTTCTGCCACTGCTATGGGCTTCCATAATACCAAATAGCTCAACAGCGGAATGATGTCAGTAGGGTGTAGAAGTTTGGTTAGTGAATATGTGCTTTTTCCTAGGCAAAGAAGGCCAACAGAGAAGGAGTAGAATTCTATCTTTTGGCAGAAAAGAAAAAAGACTTTATCTTGGCTGAAGCACTGGGGTTCCTTGCAGGACTCTGGGAGTTTTGCTTCCTCCTGTGCCTTCCTTAAAGGAAGCCCCACTGTCTCAAACCTCCAGTTGATTTCCATCTGCATTGTCTCATCCTCTGTTGTTTTTGTGCAGCTTTAATATCCTCTGAAGCAGCACTCTGAGATACCTATGGAGGCTGTTTACAGTATCTCCTAAGTTAATTATTATTTAAGTTAGTATTCTAGTTTTAAAGGTACATAGATTTTGAATGATCTTCCTCAACCCTATTATCTTCATAGCCTTGTAATTTTGATGGGAGTGATTTTGCAGAATGCATTTTTTGTATTATGTTCTAGCAGAAATGCTGTACTAGCATGTTGACCACATATAGGAATGTGGCATCTTTACACAGTGGGTAGTTCTCTTCCACCCTAGAAGGAATAGATCTTTGTAGGAGCCATAACTAAAGAAATTTTCCACACGTAACAATATAAATTTCTTTGTTAAAATCTTCTATGGTTTAGAAATCTAAAAACATAAACAATTTTCAAATCCCATGGGTTTTTAAGGGTTTCACTAGACATGATAAAGTTTAGTGTCATGTCAGTTGGGCTCATTTCAAAGTATATCTAATTCTAAAAAAGAAGCATTTTGTGTATCTTTTACTTTTTAGTCCTTGGTACAATTACGCTTCTAATCTGTCCTTATAAATAAAAAGTAATTGCTATGATCTTAACATTAGACACGATTTTCTGATCTGACATAAAACAAGCAAACAACAAGTCATACATCAAATGAGAGTATTAGGGATTATTTAAATTAAAAGGTAACTTTCACATAACACTTGACCTTTTCCAAGTTGAAGTTCAGAAGACCATCAAATATAAAAGTTTAGGGACTTTAATCATTTGATGCACAAATTATACTAACAAACAAAGAAAAAAGAAATGCAAAAATTTAATGTTAAGTGACTAGGGTGCTACAGACTGGAAGTTCCTCCAACAGGATTAGCTTCTTTGAGTATGTTAAGTCTAGTGAACTTGTTATGCTTCCACATGTTAGTAGTTGCATAGGCTAATTTCAGCTGGCATAAGCTTTTATAAGTATGCAAAAACACAGGGCAAGGCATGCATTAAAATGTGATAATAGCACACTTCTGGGACACGTGAAGCATGAGGCACAAATCTGAATGCCTCTGGCATTCATGAAGTATCACACCTCAGAGTCAGAGCTTTTATGTTTTGATAAGTAATTGTGTTATACCACATTTGGGAGGGAAAAAAAATCAACTTTCTAAACATAAATCTTTCCCTTTAACCAGGATTCCTTCTATTTTAATTCTAACGATTTATTCAAATACAATTTTTTAATTCCTGGTGAGCTGGAAATAATTCAAAGGTAGATAAGTTCTTAAGAAAACATGTTAGTTATTTATTTTATTAATGCAAGTTTAAGAGTGATTATATAATATTGTTGATCATAAAGATCATTTTAGCCAGTGTGATAAGGGGAGATTTCAAAAAGAAGAAATAAACTTCAATAATGATGCCCTCTGTATCCTCCCCACCCACAAAAGACCATAAGGAAGTATTCCCTGTGTTACATATGTCTTACAGGTAAATAACTAGCTAGATAATGGGTATGTCTACAGAAGCTTGGAAATCTTCAGATAAAAACTCCTAATAAAATGAAAAATAATTATCATATCTAACACACATATTAAAAATGACCAAGAAAAAATTGATTTACTTTCTAAATACACAAACACACATATCATCCCTGGCAGAAAAAAAATTTAAGAGTTATAAAAATAAGTATCAAAATATAATAATAGTCACTCAATAGTATTTTTTTTTAAACACTTTATTGACTTACTTATTTGAGAGAGAGAGAGAGAGCACAGAGGGAGGGGCAGATACCCTGCTGAGCAGAGAGTGGGATGTGGGACTCGATCCCAGGACACTGAAATCATGACCTGAGCCAAAGGCAGATGCTTAACCCTCTGAGCCACCCAGGTGCCCCAGTAGCCACTCAATAGTATTAAGATGATAAAGCCAGTAATGGTTTGCTTTTATGCAGTACAAGCAAGGATATTAGAAATAAATATAAGTATAGCCATATCCTAAAAAGACTTAAAGCTTTTTGGATCTAGCCTTGCAGTTTACGTATACCACTTAATATTTTGGCCCTCTTCAGGCATATGGAGTGAAGGCTTAAATGAAGTGATAGGATCTTAACAGTAGTACATTTAGTAGTGCTAATAGTAACACTACTAAAGTAATAGTAATTACTACTAAAGCAATAAAAAGTAAATTTAAAAAAGTAAAAAGTAAATAACAGTAGCAATTACTACTAATAGTAATTTAATAGCAGTACAAACACGGAATTCATGGTACATTTTGCTTTTAGAGACTAGCAAATCAGTGTTTTTAGAAATACAGATTGACAAAGACATACAATGAAATTGTTTTAAAACACATTTCATAACCTTTGAAAACCTCTAGAAGTTAACCAAAACAATTAAAAAATATCTGAGAACACAGCAGTATGATTTCTCAGTTTTCTCTTCTAAAAGCTGTATACCATAGAAAAGACCTGTTAAAATTATGAACATTTATCAATTGCTTTTATTTATTAAGTGATGGCTTACTAAAGTTAAAATACTCATGATTTTTTTTAAATCTAAACTTGAGCTGTGCTATAGGCTGAATGTTTATGTCCCACCAAAATTTAAATGTTGAAACCTAATGTGATGGTATTTGGAGGTAATTGGGTCATAAGGGTGGAGCCCTCATGAATGAAATTAGTGTCCTTATACAAGAGACCCCAGAGGGCATCCTTGCCCTTTCCACCAATAAGGACACAAGTGAGAAAATAGCAATCTATGAATCAGTTAAGGGGCCCCCAACAGACAATGAATCTGCCAGGGCCTTGATCTTGGACTTGGACTTCATGAATATAAGAAATAAATGTTTGTTGTTCAAGCCACCCAGCGTATGGTATTTTTGTGATAGAAGACCAAATGGACCAAAACATGCTGAAATAAAGATTCCTCAAACCTTAATCCCTTTCATAATTTCCTTTTGTACTAAGAATGACATATTTATCCATGTTAAAACTAAACTTTTATTATAGCTGTTTTCCTTTTAAATATATAAAGTAAAAAAAATTATGCAAGTGCCTTTTGAAATGTTATCATAGAGTTTATAAGATCTTTGTCACTTACCTTTTGAAATATCTTTAATTGTTCTGCCATACAAATCATAAAGATATCTGGCTGGTGAATCTAGGTTCATTCTCACTGTGCAAGTATCTAAAACCTACCCGGGGGAGAAAAAAACCTATAAGTAATTTATTACAGTAAGCTCTGGCTAAATCAACATTAAAAGTCCTTTCTATACTAAATGGCCATAAAAATTATACTGTAAAATAAAATTTGATGATTTAGAAAAAGTTTCTAATATATGAAAAAAAAAGCAGTTAAAATTATTAGATCACAATTTTACTTTAAAAACACACAAACAAGGGCACCCGGCTGGCTCAGCCAGAAGAACATGCAACTCTTGATCTTGAGGGCAAGCCCCACACTCATTATTAAAAATAAGAAATAAAAAATAAATTAAAAATATAATAAATAAAAATATGTTATATTTAAAAATATAAATAAAAAATATAAAAAATAAAATAAAAAATAAAAAACACAAATATTAATAAAAAAGAGAAAAGAGATGCAACAAATATTAAAAAGTGGTTATACTGTATTTAATAAATGCTAGAACTATGGGAAATTTTTATATTATTCTTGCTATTTTCTATATTTTTCATTAATTTATAGTGGGAGCATATTACTTTTAAATTTGGTCTTAACACAAATAAATGGAAAGATATATCATATTAATGGAATGGAAGAATTAACATTAAAATGCCCATACTGCCCAAAGCAATCTATAGATTCAATGCAATCCTTATTAGAATACCAATAGTATTTTTCACAGAACTAGAACAAATAATTGTAAAATTTGTATGGAACCACAAAAGACCTGGAATAGCCAAAGCAGTCTTGAGAAGGAAGAACAAAGGGGGAGGTATCACACTCCCAGATTTCAAACTGTATCACAAAGCTATAATAACCAAAATAGTATGGCACTGGTGCAAAAACAGACACATAGACCAATGGAACAGAGTTGAGAACCCAGAAATAATCCCACACTTCTATGGTCAATTTATGACAAAGGAGGCGAGAATATACACTGGGGAAAAGACAGTCTCTTCAATAAATGTATTGGGGAAACTGGACAGCTACATGCAAAAGAATGAAACTGGACCACTTTCTTATACCATACGCAAAAATAAACTCAAAATGGAGTAAAGAGCTGAACATAAGACCTGAAGCCATAAAACTCCCAAAAGAAAACAGAGACAGTAACCTCTTGGACATCAATCGTAGCAAAATTTTTCTAGATATGTCTCCTCAGACAAGGGAAACAAAGGAAAAATAAACGACTGGGACTACATCAAACTAAAAAGCCTTTGCACAGTGAAGGAAACCATCAACAAAATGAAAAAGCAACCTACTGAATGGGAAAGGAATTGCAAAGGATATTTCCAACAATGGGCTAATATCCAAAATATATAAAGAATTCATACAAGGGAACACCCCCAAAAAACAAATAATACAATTAAAATGGGCAGAGGACCTGAATAGATCTTTTTCCCAAGAAGATATATAGATGGCCACAGACACATGAAAAGATGCTCAACATCACTAATCATCAGGGAAATGCAAATCAAAACCACAAGGAGATATCACTTAATACCAGTCAGAATGAATAGGATAAAAAAGACAAGACATAAGTGTTGGCAGGGATGTGGGGAAAAGGGAACCTTTGCATGCTATTCATGCAAACGTGAACTGGTGCAAATGTAAATTGGAAAACAGTATGGAGATTCCTCAAAAAACTAAAAATAGGAGCACCTGGGTGGCTCAGTCGTTAAGCATCTGCCTTCAGCTCAGGTCATGATCCCAGGGTCCTGGGATTGAGCCCCACATTGGGCTCCCTGCTTGGCAGGAAGACTGCCTCTCCCTCTCCCACTCCCCCTGCTTGTGTTCCCTCTCTC